TTGAGTACAAGAAACCGCCCATTTACCGATTACAACTACCCAATAACATGGTCAGACATTTGCAATTTGGCCAATTTCACAAAAAAAAAAAAAATATGACAATTTCAAAATAGGGTCCAGAATGAACAACACAGACATTCCTGGCTCTAAAATGACATTTTCTTTGTTCATCAGTCACGTATCCTGGCCCCTCTGATATTACTCTTGCTTTCTATTTTGAATTTTTATTCAAACAAAATAGAAGATTTACTGTTATGCAGACTACTGCAATATTGTAATAATTGTATAAATATTGTCAACCCATTCATGACTGCATATTAGAATGGCTAGTTGGACATTTATTGGACAATGACATCATTTGTTTACTTTTGAACATCGGCGAAAATCAAACATTTCCCCTACTTTGAGCTCCATTTTCAGGTTCTTTTTATAGTAAAACCAATCAAAATCACCTCTATTTCTATATGTTTTCCATTCTATCAAATGAGACAAAAAAAAAAAAAAAAACGAGAATACAACCATAAATACTATACGAAAATAGACCACAAAGTCGGCATTTTAATAATAAAAAAAAAAGTCGGAGTTTTTTTTCTCATTATGCACTGCGAGTTGCAAGATTTTTTTTATATGGTGCACAATGACCATAGAGACCCATTCTCTCACATGTGGGCCTACCAGCTTTCTCCTGCTTGATTTGAAGCCACTAGAATTTATGAGTAAATATACGGTGGCTCATAAGACGTATATATACGAACGAAACAGTCAAAGGGTTAAGAGGCACCCAGATACAACAGCTTAAATAGTTACTCCACACTGCCAATATCCCAAACCCTTCCTTTAACCCTTTCAAGGTTGGTGCCGTACTAGTAAGGCTTGCACGTCAGGGTTGGTGCCATACTAGTACGCATAAATTCTAGACCCTTCAAATCTAGCGAGAGAAAGCTGGTAGGCCTACATACGAAAGAATGGGTCTATGTGGTCAGTGTGCACAGTATAAAAAAAATCCTGCAGCACACAGTGCATAGAGAAAAAAAACTCTGACCGTGTTTTTGGTTTAAAACAGCGACTTTGCAGTGTATTTTTGTATGCTATTTATGGTTGTATTCTAGTTTTCCTGGTCTCATTTTATAGAAGGGAAGACATATTACAGAAATTGAGACGATTTTGAGTGGTTTCGCAATGAAAAGTACCTTGAAATTGAGCTCAAAACATGCCATGCGTCCAATACACATCAACTGGTGAGTCTAATATTCTTTCACAAGTGCGCTGATATTATTTATACCATTTCTACACTAATGCAGTAGTCTGCATAACAGTAAATCTTCTATTTTTTGTGAGAATAAAAATTCAAATTGGAAAGCAAAAGAAATGTAACAGAGGCCTGGGGACGTGACTAATGAACAGAGGAAATGTTATTTTAGTGCCAGGAATGTCTGTCTTGTTTATTCTGGACCCTATTTGGAAATTGGCATCTTTTGAAATTTTTATGAAATTGGCAAAATTGCCAATTTCTGACCACTTTATTGGATAGCTGATATCTGTAAGTGGGTGGTTTCTTGTACTCATTCGATAGAAAAATGGAGTTCTAGTGAAATTGTTATGATTTTCGTCGACTGGTACATTGGAATTGGCCGAAAATAGGGCTCAAAGTGGGCGAAATCGCCGATGCGTAATCACCACCGAGACCGCTAGCTTCGCGAGAGCATAATTCCATAAGTTTTCCATCAAATTTCATACTTTTGGTGTCATTATGATCGAGAAAAGATTCTCTATCATTCCATAAGAAAAAATAATTATTTTTTTTTCGAAGAGGAGAGGGCCTGCCGACCCTGAAAGAGTTAAAGTGCAGGCATTGTACTTCCCATTTCCAGGACTCAAGTCTGGCTAACCAGTTTGACTGAATCCCTTCACAAAATATTACCCTGCTCACACTCCAACAGCTCATCAGATCCCAAAAAACATTCGTCTCCATTCACTCATATCTAACACGCTCACACACTTGCTGGAAATCCAAGCCCCCTCGCTCACAAAACCTCCTTTACCACCTCCCTCCAACCTTTTCAAGGATGACCCCTACCCAGCCTTCCTTTCCCTACAGATTTATACGTTCTCCAAGTCATATTTTATATATACTCTGATAATTACACTTATGTGTACATGTACCCAAGTAAACTCACACACACTGCTGGTGTGCAGGTACATATTAAAATCAGAGTATCTTATGTCTTGAGGACGCCATATTAATAATGATAATAATACTCAATAATAATCACTCTGAGGCACATTAAATGTCACATATTATGTTAATATACACATTTTCATTAATCCAGTATGATATTTATTCTACTGTAATAAACAGTAGAATAAATTAACATAAATACGAGATGTTTATCCAGTGGTCTTGTCGAAGTGTCGGAAAGAATAACGTTTTCTATAGTCCAACACCAAAGAAAATGTGTACACAATACTATTACTGGGGGTAACTGTAGAAAATCATTTCTTTCGTATGCCTTCACTCGGAGCGTCATTTCTTCTAAAAATGGTGTTACATGAGAATGGGAGTGTTGGTCTTTATTTTTTCTACTGTGCTAACGTGGAGACAGCTTGTACACAATGTAAAGTGTTTTTTTTTTTTTTCAACAAGTTGGCTGTCTCCCACCGAGGCAGGGTGACCCAAAAAAGAAAGAAAATCCCCAAAAAGAAAATGCTCTCATCATCATTCAACACTTTCACCACACTCACACATAATCACTGTTTTTGCAGAGGTGCTCAGAATACAACAGTTTAGAAGCATATACGTATAAAGATACACTACATATCCCTCCAAACTGCCAATATCCCAAACCCCTCCTTTAAAGTGCAGGCATTGTACTTCCCATTTCCAGGACTCAAGTCCGACTATATGAAAATAACCGGCTTCCCTGAATCCCTTCACTAAATATTACCCTGCTCACACTCAAACAGATCGTCAGGTCCCAAGTACCATTCGTCTCCATTCACTCCTATCTAACACGCTCACGCACGCTATAATATAAACGTGTATGAACCAAAACCAGACGCGTTAGACTGCTTACATACGCTGCGTTTCTGTCCTCTCTCATTTACTCATCCTCCCTCTCTCTTTTATTCATTGTACAGTATCTCATTTACTCACCTCTTACCCTACATTAAGACTACAAATATTCTAGGGTAAGTAATGAGTGAACTGTATATGAATTTTATCGCTCTGGGATGCTTTAAATGTCATAGTATATGTGTGGGTGGGGGGGGCTACCATACCTACCACACCTGACTTCTTACAATAAATACTACTCATCTCACCCTACATTAACCCTGTCAGGGTTGGTGCCATACTAGTACGGCTTGCACACCAGGGTTGATGCCGTACTAGTGTGACTTGCACGCCAGGGTTGGTGCCATACTAGTACACACAAATTCTAGCGCCTTCAAATATAGCGAGAGAAAGCTGGTAGGCCTACATATGAAAGAATGGGTCTATGTGGTCAGTGTGCACAGTATAAAAAAAAAATCCTGCAGCACACAGTGTGTAATGAGAAAAAAAAAACTGACCGTGTTTTTGGATTAAAACAGCGACTTTGCATTGTATTTTCGTATGGTATTTATTGTTGTATTCTAGTTTTCCTGGTCTCATTTGATAGAATGGAAGACATATTACAGAAATTGAGATGATTTTGACTGGTTTTACAATGAAAAGTACCTTGAAATTGAGCTCAAAGTAGCAGAAATGTTCGATTTTTACCAAAGTTCAAAAGTAAACAAATCATGCCACGCATCCAATACACATCAACTGGTGAGTCTAATATTCTTTCACTAATGTAGTAGTCTGCATAACAGTAAATCTATTTTTTTTGCGAGGATAAAAATTAAAAGTGGAAAGCAAAAGAAATGTAAGAGAGGCCTGGGGACGTGACTAATGAACAAAGAAACTTTATTTTAATGCCAGGAATGTCTGTTTTGTTTATTCTGGACCCTATTTGGAAATTGGCATTTTTTGAAATTTGTGTGAAACTGGCAAAATTGCAAATTTCTGACCACTTTTGTGGACAGTTGAAATCAGTAAATGGGTGGTTTCTTGTACTCATTCGATAGAAAAAAATGGAGTTCTAGCGAAATAGTTATGATTTTTGTCAACTGGTACATTGGAATTGACCGAAAAGAGGGCTCAAAGTAGGTGAAATCACCGATGCGTAAACACTGTCAAGACCGCTAATTTTGCGAGAGCATAATTCCGTAAGTTTTCCATCAAATTTCATACTTTTGGTGTCATAATGATCAGGAAAAGAATCTCTATCATTTCATAAGAAAAAGTATTTTTTTTTTTTTTCGAAAAATTTCCGACCCTGAGAACCAGTTTAGGAGAGGTCCTGCCGACCCTGAAAGGGTTAGTGGAACAAAAGGGAAAGTGGAACAGAATTCTTCCTCGGTAAGCCATGCGTGTCATAAGAGGCGACTAAAATGCCGGGAGCAAGGGGCTAGTAACCCCTTCTCCTGTATGGATTACTAAAGTTAAAGAGAAACTTTTGTTTTTCCTTTTTGGGCCACCCTGCCTCAGTGGGATATGGCCAGTTTGTTGAAAGAAAAGTAATGAGTGTACTATATGTGTATCATATCTCCAATTTTTAACCGCAAATGAAAACAAAATTCCTCTGATGGTAAATCATAACCCCCAACCCTTCATAAAACAAGGGACCACTGTTGTATTAGCAATATTTCAGTGTTAGTAATAGTACAGTATTAGTAAATACAGTATGTGTAATAGTATTAGAAATTGTATTATTATTATTAGTATCATAACATTATGTTTCAAATATACATGGTTTTACTGTGACTTGCAAAACGTAAACACGCCATCACTAGCACAGGCTTGACTTGTAGTATACTGGCCACTCATCCTGTGACATCACATGCAAACTCTCCACTGGTTGTAATAAGAGGGTGTAGATGTAGTTATAGTTGTAGATAACTGCTGATGTACTTACGTGCATCTGATAGTGTATTTCTGCACCCAGATATGTTAAGTCGTTCTAAAGAAGCTGGGAAACGACGACAAATCACACCTAAATCTCCAGCACTTAGTGCTGTCCAAGCCAAATTCAAACTTTGTAGCCTGAAATACAAGTAATCCCCGTTTCAGTCAAAAACTGACACAACAGTATAATCGTTTATAATTATGCATGAGTATTTTTGTACAATGGTTTAAACAATATGAGCATCTAAAGATTTGTCTCACAAACTGACCCCTTAACAGAAACAATTATTTCTTGATCTTGTACAAGGCCAAATAAAAAGCATTAACATGAGACAATAATCAGCACTAAAATTTTTCATAAAATTTTACCTTTTACAATGATTGAGAATGTTAACTAGGTACGAATGACACAATCCATAACACATTGCAAGATTTAGTGTCTCCAAGTTTGAATTGTTAGCAATGTGTGAACAGACTGACTGAGTTAGAGTGCAGTGTTCCAAGCTGAGTTTCTTGAGATCAAAACACACACTCAGCAACTCTTCGAGTGCTGAAATATAAAATTTCAAACTTATAAAATACTAAAATAAAACATTTTACAAATAACTAGTTCTTACACATGGTTGATATATTTTAACATTATCACATTTCTGTCTCATTTATGGTTGATTGTTGAAGCATTAACTTAAATTTTCATAGGTAAGCAATTCCCCAGTAAAAAGTGTCTTATGTCAAAATTACCCTCAACACCACACAATTTTTCATCAACCCTCTAATGCTTGATCTAATGTCCTTAATTTTTCATCCTTACATTACTCTTAAATACATGTGATCTTTAAATAACATGTTTTTAAATACTGTACAAGACACACTATAACTATGGTAAACTAGCCTGTATGATATAAATGTAAAAATATACTTTGTTATATACATTTTAAGAATTCTCACCTTGTGGCTCAATGGCTGCCATACTAAGGTCAAGATATTGTAGCTTGCTTCTTATTGGTGGAATGCTCGGCAAGTAGTGCAATTGTGGTGAAAAGATTGGGTTGCCCACCTGCATGTAGGGAAAATTATAATAGTATTACACTAAAATAAGATTGAGGTACAATACATTTTAAAGTCAAGCATTTCAAGATGTAAAATATCTCTTGCAGATATTGGCACTTAAATTAAAATTAATATATAAACTATGTAAATAACTTGGTTCAAATCATATACTAAGACCTATATTTATACAAACATCTTTAAACAACTGAGGTAGTAGGTTGGTAGAGAGCAACTGCCTAGGGAGGTACTACCATCCTACAAAGTGAGTGTAAAACATGATAGTAGGATTGCTGGTTGTCTTTTTTTCTGTCTCATAAACATGCAAGATTTCATGTATGTCTTGCTACTTCTGCTTACACTTAGATCACACTACACATGCATGTACAAGCATACATGTACACATCCCTCTGTGTTTTCTTCTTTTTCGTACTAGTTCTTGTTTATTCCCTCTTGTCAAAATGGGAAAATGGAACAGAATTCTTCCTCCGTAAGATATGCATGTCGTAAGAGGCAACTAACATGTCAGGAGCAAGGGGCTAGTAACTCCTTCTCTTGTATACATTACTAAAGTTAAAAAGAGAAACTTTTTTCTTTTTGGGCCACCCTGCCTCAGTGGGATACGGCCAGTTTGTTGAAAGAATCTCTAAACAATTATTTAATTTCAAAATTATAGTACCAAACATTAGTGAGTTTTGCTGAAGGAGACATCTTATGTACTGACTGAATGTATGTATACATGCATTTAAATTTATGGAATAGGTGATAGGTTACTGAAAGCAATTAAGATTTTTATGAAGATAGTGAGGCTCAGGTTAGGGTATATAGGAGGGAGAATATTTTTCAGTAGAGCTTAGACAGGGATGCATGATGTCATCATGGTTGTTTAATATATATATAGATGGGGGTTGTAAGAGAAGTGAATGCTGGGGTGTTGGGAAGAGGTGTGGGATTGGAAGAATCATTAATTCTATGGTTTACCTTGTCTTTCATAGACCCATCTCCCAACAAGTTCACTCCCCAATATCTGAACACATTCACTTCCTCCATACTCCCTCCTTCCAATCTCATATATATTCTAAAATTACTTAAATATTTTATTACCCTCATCATCTTGCTCTTTCCTATGTTCATTTTTAATAGTTTCTTCTTTTACATACCCTCCCAAATTCATCCACCAACCTTTGCATCTTCTATTCAGAATCTTTTAAAAGCAACTGACAACTCTCACTATTTTAATCCCGCACCTTTCTCCAACACCCTAGCATACACTTCTTTTAAAATCCCATCTATAAATATGTTAAACAACCAGTGACATCACATATCACTGGACAAGGCCTACTTTTACTGGAAAACAATCTCCCTCTCTCCTATGTACTCTAACCTGAGCCTATCTTCATAAAAACTCTTAACTGCTTTCAGTAACCTACAAACCTATGCCATATACTTGCAACATCTGTCACATTGCTCCCCTATTTACCCTATGAAGTGCCTTTTTTCCTATTTACCCTATGAAGTGCCTTTTTCCCTATTTACCCTATTAAGTGTCTTTTGATCTACACATCTAAAGCCTCCTTGTTCATCAGCAATCCTGCTCATCATCTTACCCCTAATTTTCAATAACTCTACCATATATTTTACCTGGTATACTTAACAGTTTGGAGGGCTGTGTAATAGGACAGTATATATATAATTGGGGCCCTGATATTATATTCTATATGGAATTTATCAAATTATTTCAAGTCACTTTTTATATTGTATCTTTATATATGCTTCTTAACAGTTAAGAGACTGAACAGTCCCTGGCTAACACCCAGCATCCTCAAATCCATAAATACAAAGCACCTATACGAAAAACAGTACAGAATGGGTCACATAACCAGAGACCAAAGAAAACGTTACTCGTCAATCCTAACCAGCCTGATAAGAAGGGCTAAAAAATTGTATTATGAGAACAGATTATCCAACGTACGAGGTAACATAAAAAAGACCTGGAAAACCCTATCAGAAATTCTAGGAACAAAAAAGATATCACGAAATAGCGAAATTGAATTAACAAAACCAGATGAACCCCAACTCCCACCAACTGAAACAGCAAACAGACTCAATAATTTCTTCTCCACTATAGGAAAAAACCTTGCCAATAAAATCCCAAGCTCAGATACCCCACTCAATGACTACCTCACTGGCAACTACCCGAACACACTGTTCCTAGCTCCGACTAACCCTACTGAAGTCTCCCTTATTATCAACACACTAAAAACAAGACAGGAGATTTAAATACCTTACCACCCTTTATATACAAAAAAGTGTCACAAGTGCTATCACCAATCATTGCAACACTCTTTAACAAATCCACAGAATCCTCTACCTTCCCTACAGTTCTCAAAATAGCAAGGGTCACCCCGATCCATAAAGGAGGCAACCAAACAGACTTGAATAACTATAGGCCAATATCCAACTTACACCTTCTCTCTAAAATCTTCGAAAAATTAATTCATAAGCGAATCTATTCTTACCTCATCTCCCACAACATACTCAACCCCTGTAAATTTGGGTTCAGGCCTAATAAAAATACTAACGATGCTATTATACACATGCTAGAACACACACACACTGCAATAGAGAAAAAAGAAGTCCCACTGGGGATCTTCATTGACTTACGTAAAGCTTTTGATACAGTTGACCATGACTTGCTCCATATAAAATTGTCACACTATGGTATAAGAGGGCACTCCCTCAACTACCTAGTCTTACCTCAGCAACAGAAGCCAATATGTGTACACAAATGGGGCAAACTCTTCCGCACAGCCAATTACAGTTGGTGCCCCACAGGGAAGTGTCCTAGGCCCTCTTCTCTTTCTCATACACATAAATGACCTACAAAATGCATCACAACTACTCAAACCCACACTATTTGCAGATGACACTACATACGTCTTCTCTCACCCAAGCCCAGTCACGCTAGCCAATACTGTAAATACCGAATTACATAAAATAGTATCTACCTGGATGAGGACTAACAAACTTACTCTAAACATTGACAAAACCTACTTCATTCAGTTTGGTAACAGAGCTACAGACGTCCCTCTTAACATAATGATAAACGGATCACCTATCACAAAGCTCACAGAGGGAAAATTCTTAGGAATCAACCTTGATAATACTCAAATTTCAAACACACATACAACAAATTTCCCAAAAAAATTCCAAGACCGTAGGCATACTATCGAAGATACGGTACTATGTTCCACAGTCAGCCCTCCTGGCCCTATATCACTCGCTTATTTACCCCTATCTCACCTATGGAATTTGTGCATGGGGCTGAACAACAATAAACCATCTCAGACCATTAATTACCCAACAAAAGGCTGCAGTCAGAATGATGATAAATTTCCACTACAGGCAGCACACTCCACCAATATTCAAAACTCTAAACCTACTCACCATACAAAAACATCCATACTTATTACTGCACCCACTACATACATAGAACACTTAACTCCGATATAAACCCTCCCCTCAAACGTCTCCTTACCAACCTCAACAGAACACACGACCATAACACAAGGCACAGATCACTCTTTGATGTTCCTCGTGTCCACCTCACGCTATGCAAAAACTCAATGCACATAAAAGGCCCTAAAATCTGGAATTCATTACCTGTGAATATAAAAGAAACAATGTCTGTTTATAAATTCAAGTCTCTTCTCAAAAATCACTTACTCACCCACAACTAAATAAATACTGAATAATTGTATCACATAAAGTGTATCTCATAAATGTTTCTCATTATTGTATCTCATAAATGTCTAACCTGTGACCCAATCAAACTTTGTTATTTTTTTAATTACATTACCTAACAGAATACTCCATTCTACTGAATGCATAGCAACACAGTAAATGACCATATGACCTGTCTTTGTAATACTCATTTGTGCTAAATTGTTATCTGTTTGCAATAATGTTTTTACCACTGAATATATCATTGCTTAGTTAATCTTAAGTTAATTTTAAACCTGCCCATAATGCTCTGCATACAAGGGGCTTTGGCATGTTGCACTTTAATAACTGTATTCCTTTGTACTTCTCTGTATCATGTTCAAATTAATAAAAAATAAATAAATAAATAAAGAAACTGTTGTATCTGGGCACATCTGCAAAAACAGTGATTATGTATGAGTGAGGTGAAAGTGTTGAATGATGATGAAAGTATTCCTGTTTTGGGAATTTTTTCTTTCTTTTTGGGTCACCCTGGCTAGGTGGGAGATGACCGAGGTTTTTTTTCTTATATACATATACATTATATATATATATATATATATTTTTTTTTCAACAAGTCGGCCGTCTCCCACCGAGGCAGGGTGACCCAAAAAAGAAAGAAAATCCCCAAAAAGAGAATACTTTCATCATCATTCTTTCACCACACTCGCACATTATCACTGTTTTTGCGAGGTGCTCAGAATACAACAGTCTAGAAGCATACACCATATAAAGATACAAAAACATATCCCTCCAAACTGCCAATATTTTATATATATATATATAATATTATATATATATAAATATATATAAATATATATATATATATATATATATATATATATATATATATATATATATATATATATATATATATATTATATATTTATATATATATATATATATATTATATATATATATAATAAAAGATATATATAGATATATTGATTATAAAATATATATATATATATAATATATATAATATATAGTAATATATAATATATATATATATATATATAATATATATATATAAATATATATATATAATATATATATATATATCATATATAATATATTATATATTATATATAAACTAATATATATATAAGTAGGTTGGTAGACAGCAACCACCCACGGAGGTACTACCGTCCTGCCAAGTGAGTGTGAAATAAAGCCTGTAATTGTTTTACATGATGGTGGGATTGCTGGTTTTTTTTGTCTGTCTCATAAATATGCAAGATTACAGGCATGTCTTGCTACTTCTACTTACACTTAGGTCACCACTACACTACATGGGACACGTTTATTTATACACACTCATCTGAGTTTTCTTTGATTTTATCTTAATAGTTCTTTGGGCTTTTACTTTTCCTTTTAATCCATGGGAAGTGAATAAGAATCTTTTTTCCCAAACCAGCGGGTTTGTAAAAGTCAAATAAAATGCCGGAAAAATGGGC